AGACAAAAATATGCAAACAACTACAAGAACACGCCGACCGTCAAGGATCTAGAGAACTGTGTGCCAAAGTAAAATACTTAGCTAAAGAGTTCAAACCTCAAACGCAGATGATTAAAGATAACTTGGGAACGATCATCATCAATCCAGAGGGTATAGCAGCGACGTTGAAACAATACTGTGAAATGTTGTTTCATAGTGACCATGAAGTAGTAAATCTAGAAGAAATAAATGACGAAAAGGAACCACATATTTTAAAATCGGAAATAGAAACCGCAATAAAAAAATTAAAAACTGGAAAATCTCAAGGAGAAGACGGAATCACGGCGGAAGCACTTAAAGAAATGGGAGACATAGTTATCGAAGTAATGTTCAAACTGTGTAATGAAATCTGGAACACAGGCAATCCCCAGAGTATAAACTCACTTTCATACCCATTTATAAGAAAGGCTCACCAACTGAATGTAATAACTACCGCACTATAGCCCTGATCTCTCACGCAAGTAAAGTTCTTCTTCTTCATGTGCCTTGTCCGTTCCGAACGTTGGCAATGAACATGACTATTCTGACTTTGTTTGCGGCAGATCTGAATAGTTCAGCGGATGACAATCCGAACCAATGCCGCAAGTTTTGGAGCCACGAGTGTCTTCTTCTCCCTGGACCCCTTCTGCTGTCTATTTTCCCTTGAACAATCAGCTGTAGTACTCTATATTTATTATGTCTCATAACGTGACCCAAGTATTCCAACTTTCTTTTCTTTATACTTATTCCTACCTATCTCTCTTTATCTATCCGGCGTAGTACATCTTCGTTGGTCACGTGTTCAGTCCAGGATATACGTAATATACGTCGGTAAGCCCACATTTCAAAGGCCTCTACTTTTTTCATCAATGTTGCGGTCATTGTTCACGCCTCCATTCCATATAACAAAACTGGGAATACATAACATTTCAGAAGTCGAATTTTGAGAGGTAGGGTGAGGCTTTTAGAGGTGAAAATTTGCTTCATGCTAGTGAACGATGCTCTTGCCTTTTCTACTCTTATACGTATTTCCTTGGCTTGATCCCTATTTAAGTTAACTGTTGTTCCCAAATAGATGTACGAATCCACGTGTTCAATTCTTTTATTGTCTAATATCAGTTGCTGTGGTGGTTGTTGGGTTTTGCTTACTAACATCCATTTGGTTTTTGTGATATTAGTCTGAGTCCATATTGTGCACTTGTTTTTTGTATCTTACTCATTAGGCAACTCAGTTCCTCCATGCTACTTGCTAGAATCACAGTGTCATCAGCATACCTTATGTTATTAATTTCGTAATAATAATTATGTAAAAGTAAAGTTCTGCTAACTATAATTAACCAGAGATTAAAATCAATACTTCTACCACAGATCCCACAAGAACAATGTGGATTTGTCCCTGGAAGAGGCACACAAGAACAAATTCTTGGTAAGGTAAGTCCAAATATACCTACTGAAACAACTGTATATCAACAACACAGCAAACGTAAGAGTCAACAACATATACTTTGATAACTTTAAACTAAAAGCCGGTGTTCGACAAGGATGTATTATCTCCAACACCTTATTCAATATACATATATAGCGAATACATCATATATCAATATCAGTCGGAGGCCAAAAAATCAGCAATCTTCGCTATGCTGACGACACTTTACTAATAGCATCATCAACAAATGAATACATCATGACCTTGAATACATCATGAACAGACTAGATACTATTAGGTGCTATTAGTCGTGAATATGGACTAAAAATTAATGTACAGAAGACCAAGGTAATGATAATCGATCGAATTAGAAATAACCAGCCGGAAATAGGAAACGTAGCGGGGTTTGAAATGGTAAGCCGTTTCAATTACTTAGGTACTTTCAATTAGGTTCTGTTATCACAAACAATGGTGCATGCGAAGAAGTTATACTTAGATGCCTTACAATGGCCAGATCAACACCGGTCAAACTTACTAAAATCTGGAAAGATACGGACATAACCAGGAATACGAAACTGCACCTAATATGGACTCTTATCTTTCCTATTGCTACCTATGCTTCAGAAACTTGGACCATTAAAAAGTCCGACTCACGACGTATAATGGTCTTTAAAATGTGGGTATATCGTAGAATGATGCACATACCCTGGACAGCACATCACACAAATGTCTCAATATTGACAGAACTCGACATCAATACTAGGCTTACCACAATCATCAACCAAAATATATTCAGATACTTTGGACACATTACAAGACGAATAGAAGGTATGAAGAGGATGGTGATTAAAGGCAAGGTAGATGGTAAAATTACTCGAGGAAGATCGCCACTCCGATGGTCAGACCAAATAAAGTGCGCTACCGGTTACTCTCTGTCTGAGACAGCACACCGCGCCCAGGAGAGAGAAGAATGGATGCAACCATTCGTCAAATACGACAACGTCACCACATGCTTACGAAGGATAAAGGATAGAGGAATAGTACGCAAATGAAGAATTTTTAAAGCTTTTTTTTTCATTTATTAGTGAACTTATAAAACTACTCATCATCATCATCAGTAGCTCGACAATCCTTTCTGGGTCCTGGCTTGTTCTAGGATTTTTCGCCATTCTGTTCTGTTCCTTGCTTTGTTTTTCCAGTTAGGAATCTTAAGTGTTTTTAGATCTTGTTCCATCTATCCAAGTTTGGGTGTTCCCTTTGACCTTCTCTTTACTAGTGTTGGCCTCATTATATTTTTTGGGGTTTTAGTCTCCAACATCCGTTAAACATGGCCGATCCAACGCAGACGTCCGATCTTTATGGATGTTATAATCTCGGGTTCATTGTGTGCTGTGTATAGTTCAAAATTATATCTTTTGCGCCATATGTCATTTTCTTTTACCCCCTTATATATGTGTCTAAGGATTTTTCGTTCAAATGTATCTAATAGGTTCTTATCGCTTTTCGACAGTGTCCATGTCTCTGATCCATATACAAGGACCGGTTTTATCAGGGTCTTGTATATTTTACATTTGATTTTTCTTGTGATGTTAGATCTTAGATATTTAATCAGTCCATGATGTTTTATTAGCGATATGTATTCTCTTAACTTCTTAACTTCTTCACTGGCATTATTACCTGCGGTAACTAGTGAACCTAGATATGTAAAACTTTTCACGTTTTCGATGTTATAGTCTTCTATTGTCAGATTTTGTAGGTTTCTTTGGCCTGTCGATTAACTAGCCTTCATGTATTTGGTTTTTATTTCGGTAATGTTTAGGCCACTGTTTTGTATGCTCTTTCTATCGCATTAAATACTTCTATCATCTCTCTTTTGCTTCATATTCATATAAATATTTGTACATTTTTTGTTATTATTGTTCTTCTGGTGTTGACTTTTGACTATCTAATTATTTTCTCTAATGTGATGTTGAATAGAATACACGATAGGGCATCTTCCTGTCGTAGGCCCGTTCTCACATGGATTGTATCTGTTAGTTCGTTTTAAATTCGACTTGTGATTTACTGTCGATACTTAAAATGGAAAAGCAACATGTAAGCTCTCCCGTAATTGTCACATGTAAGCATGTGAAGTGACCTTTAATAAGAAGGTTGGGAACAGTGTGTGTCTGTGAGTGTCAACAGGGACATCCGCCTTCCTTGAGAACGTCACTTCACATGTCATGAGGCCATGTGCAACGGCCAACGATATAACCTAGGCATAATAATATGTAATGTAACGTTCTTATAATCTAACTAAATAAAGTAATACAAATTACAACTACAGTCATCTATACCTACTTGTTTTATTACATGTAACATGGTGTCAGGTGTGGGGTCGGATCCCCAGCTGTTTTTGTATCGGACAATTTTCCATTTGGTAGCGTTGAATTCAGGCAATTTGCCCGAAAGTGGAATTTCAACCTAATCACATCTAGTCCAAGATATCCACAGTCTAATGGACTAGCAGAGAGAGCAGTTGGGATTTGTAAAAACATGCTTAGAAAATGCAATGACTCTGATGAAGATATACACAATGCATTAATGGAGTACAGAACAACTCCTTTAACAGGAATTGGATTATCCCCATCTGAACTTCTCAACAACAGGGTTCTTAGGACAGCTATTCCGGTATCTCAAAAAGTTCTATCTAAAAAACCCATAGTTGATCTAAATAGATTAAGAGAACAGAGGAGTAGAAGTGTCAAGTATTATAATAAACATTCTCGGGTTAGAAGTGAGTTTAAAGTAGGTGAAAGCATAATGTTAAGAAAAGATAAAATATGGGTACCAGGTGAAATTGTTAGTATTACTAATAGTCCAAGATCTTATTGGGTAAAAGATAATTTTGGTAATAGTTACAGGAGGAATTCATCTTTTATTAGACGTTGTCCTAACAAATATGTTCAAAACACGTCATACAACGTGCCTTTTGAAGAAACTGATGTTTTGCCAAGTTCTGATACAGTTCCTTCAACTAGTAAGGAAACTATTCAAAATAATAGTAATAGTGAACATAATAACATTGTAACACGCTCTGGTAGGAGGGTAAAAAGACCTTCCAGGTTTAGGGATTATGTTTGTTAAAAGGGGTAAAGGGGAAGATGTCACATGTAAGCATGTGAAGTGACCTTTAATAAGAAGGTTGGGAACAGTGTGTGTCTGTGAGTGTCAACAGGGACATCCGCCTTCCTTGAGAACGTCACTTCACATGTCATGAGGCCATATGCAACGGCCAACGATATAACCTAGGCATAATAATATGTAATGTAACGTTCTTATAATCTAACTAAATAAAGTAATACAAATTACAACTACAGTCATATATACCTACTTGTTTTATTACATGTAACAGTAAACGGAAACATGTAAATTGGAAACCTTCTAAACTGTTTATATTTTCTGAAGACTGTATAATTTCTGAAGACGACAGGAGATATCGAAACTGCGCGTTTATGCCCCCAACTACCCTAATTAGTTGGATGATCTCTAATTAAATACAAAATAAATAACAATTTTCATTAAGAATTAATATTTTATTCACAATTTGTTATATTTTAATATAGTTACAAAAAATAAACGAACCTATTTAACAAGAAATATTACATAAAACTTTATACAAATTTATAAGTACAGACTTTATCTTTACCACATAGGAGATTGAATGTGATATTTTCGACAACAAAAATAACAACAAAAATTATACTGGGACCAAACTAAAGAAATCTACAACGATATTTTGACTAAAATAAAAATGTTGCATATTTGTCCATTTATAATTAAAATTCAAAAGGCACCCTTAGTTAGACGCTATTAACCGAGCCTGGTATACATGACCCTTAAACAAGCGCCATCTCACTGACAAAGGATATGTTCAATTTTATTTTGCTGGCAATGAAATAAAATAAAATATTGAATATTCAGATAAATCACATGTTTTAGGAAACAAACCGCGTTCATTCTGATTTATGTTATTTAGGTACCTATATTCCTCCCAACGAAGAAGAAACAACAGGTCAATGAACGTGTCTTTCAGTGAAATAATCCAATAACAACTTATTTTGTCTCATTGATGTACATAAACATAAACTTTATTTATGCTGTTTCTTCTAATTTTTATACAAACTCTTTGGTACCCTACATGATGATGTCTTTCTAAAGGTTAGCTATAGTTGACAATGCAATGCAATGGCCAATATGAGTTTAACATTATACTCATACACAGTAAGTTATACACAGATCATACTATCATTGTATGACTACTTTTACAATGTTGTCAAAAATTCTATTTAATAGCTGCTCCGTATCTATATCATTGTTTAATATATTTAACATGCATTTGTAAATATACAAGCGATATTACTGTTTATTAATTTTTGGGGATGCCTAATATACCGTCGATTAAAAATTAAATGACACGAAGTTAAAAATAATTATCCAATCAATGTTAGACGCCGTATTCGAGTTAACAATTCGATTATACAAAAAAAAAATTATAAAAAATATACATTCGACTAAACACATGTACACACACTCAATAAAAATAAATTAAAAAATCGAGTCTTTTGTTTGTTAGGGCAGTAAATTAGCTACCGAGTGTTTAAATTTGTTATTTGTTCTAATTACAGTGCTTCGTCACCGCTGTGGTAACCGTTCCTGTTGAGTGGTTGCCTTTCGGGAGCTGGAGATGGCCTATTTCTCTTGAAGAAACCACACTGAAAAAAAAAACAGGTGTTATATTTTAACTTATAAATATAATTATTATAATACATATATTTAACAAATTTTAAATTAATGTGTTTATTTATAGATATTGGTTACTTGATATAAAGGACTGTTTAATTCAAAAATAAATTCGAAGAAAAGGTGCCTTTCCCATTCGAGTGGTAATGTACGGTCTCTGACTCCAACGTAATAGATTTTTCGCGCTAAAACTCAAATGCACATATTGTTTTGTCAGCGCGGCCAGGTAGCTTTCGAATCCTCATCACGCTATTCAGTCTTGAAAAATCTTTGGCCGAGTGAGGATAGTTACATGTTATTAGACCTGACGATGTGAGCGATCGAGGTTACCATTTGTGTTATACTTAACGGTAAGTTTTTGTCGTTTTTGGTCCATAGTCAGTTTAAATAATATATACTCATTGTAGGAGTTGTATGTGAATGTGGATTACTAGAGAAAACAAATCAGGCTGCAATCAGCAATTATTGCTAAATCCGAACCGGAACCAGAAGATGAGCAAGTTTGCAAGATGATTTTTCAGAAGTTCTAGAATATGATACCAATTCAGAGAATTATTTCTGTTAAGAATATGCCAAAAATCATGTACTAGTAGAAGTAATACCGCGCATTCCACGTTTGTTTGGGAAATTTGGATTAAGGTGGAGGAAACATCATGAATTTAATCGTACGAACTCATACTGAAAATCTTCTACCCAATCTGGCAGGACCAAAAGGTAATATTAGGCGAAAATTGGTGATAAAAGAAGATTTGGGAATGTTTTTTCACTACAGATATTCTAGAAAAAATAGTAGAATGCGCCAATAAGTTCATAGCATTGAAACGCTATGACACAGTTAATAACAGAGCGGCTAGGCCAATTGATCTTATAGAATTAAAAGCTATGTTTGGTCTGTTGTACATATCTGGCGCTAACAAAAGCAATAATCAGAATGCTGATGATTTATTTAGAACAGAATACAAAGGCAAGAATTCGACAAGTTGGCCGCGATACGTGAGATTTTTTAAACTTTAATTCTAATCTACCGAAGCATTACAATCTTCCAGCTTATACTACGATAGATGAAAAGTTTAGAAGCCTTTCGCGGCAAATGTTGATTCAGGTTTTACATACCGAATAAACCAAATCGTTATGGTATAAAAATATATGCTTTAGCAGACGCTGAGATGTCCAAGATGGAAGATACGTCGAACATGTCACTTGTACCTCGTCTGTGTGAACCGATTTGGGGAACGGGAAGGAACTTTACCATGGATAATTTTTTCACAAGCTTTCAACTGGCGCGATTACTTCAACGTGAACATTGTCTAACTGTTATAGGAATGTTACGAAAGGATAAACCTAAAATTGCTCTAGTGCTAAGGCAACAAATGCCAGAAAAAACCAGTATGTTCGCATTTCAAGAGAAGTGTACCATTGTATCGTATGTAACCCGAAAAGGTAAAAATGTTTTAGTGTTATCTACTATCCATTACGACGACAACATTGATAATGAAGCAAGTAAACCAGAAATAATCATAGATTTTAAAAAGACTAAATGAGGCATGATATTGCGCTAGAGCAACTCGTGGCTGGCCAATGATCATTTTTTACAGTTGTTTGAATTTCGCTGGGATAAATTCCTACATTATATACAAATAGAATACAGACACACGCATTCCTAGACGAAGTGTTTTTGGAAGACTAAGGTTTTCAACTTATTGACGAACATATTCGCAGACGAGCCCTAGAACAAAACATTCCAAGGACAATTCGTATGAGGTTAGTGGAAATTTGTAGCATGCAGACAAGAAATCAACCTATTCAGAATAATGTGTATGGAAGATGTACGTTCTGCAGTAGTAAGAAAAACCGTAAAACTCGGTTTCTTTGTAGGCAGTGTGGCAAATATTGGAACATTTAACCGGACTATGCGTTGTGTGCAGTGTAGAAGAAAATGAGGAAGTAAACGGACAATAGTTTCAGTTTATGTTGGACATCTGCTGAATAATTTTATTGATGTTTTAACCCTTGTCTTTATGTTTGTTGATATTTTGTATTCAGAAACTTGACACGTTTTTGTAAATTGTTTGTCAATTATGTTAGTACATACCTAAAAGAACCCAATTTTTTTTCTCGAAAATAAATATTGATCATTTCTAACTATATTGTTATATAAATATAGCTATATTAAATATTTAGTCACATCAAAGTATTAACAGAAAATCACAAGCTAAGATATTCATTATTAAAAAAGTCGGTGTCGTAGACAGGCATTAGAAGCTATGATTTATCAGCTATGTTACAAGAATTCACGTTACCGGTGGAAGGTTAATTTAGTTTTAAAATAAAATAACATATTTCGCAGGGTCGGACTGGCTCATAAAAAAAGCGCCAACCCTAAACTCTAAACAATTGCGCCAGAACCTCATCCTCCGAAACTTTTAACATCAGTTTTTTTAACCCTAATACATGTAAAGTAAATCAATATTATTTGTGAATTTTTTTAAGTTTAATTTTAATTTAAAGTCATAAAATAATTTACTATTTTTATTGGGAATATCCACAATTATACTTTAAAATAAGTTTATTTTGACTTTTCGATTTCTACGTGGAAATTACCGGCAGGACGTTCCACGACACAACATATTTTCTTTTAACATTTTAATTCAAAAAAACTATATCTAGGCAACAAATGAGAGCACCAAAAGGCGAAGCAAATTCACGGAAAAAATTTATTGCATATTCATTTTTTTTAATCTAAAAACCATTAGTGTCCAAAATAAAATTCGATATGCTTCTTTGTAAATTTAGAAAAACAATAAGTAGTGAACTATATTAATATACCGAATAGCTGCAAAAACTGTAAATAGTAAATTAAAACTACATACACAATATCTGCGAATATAGTGGCCCAAATACAAATATCTTCATTGGTTTTATCGTCTTTGAGTGAGATACTCAGCATCTGTCGTTCCATAGCTCTCTGAGTTTTTCTGATCTTCTCCATGTTTATTTTAGTGAATGTTTAGGTTTGAGCTCCACATGTAAGTACAGGAAGGATACAGGAATTAAACACTTTGATTCGCAGTCTTTGAGGTATATCTTTATTTTTAAGTACGTATGAGAGTCTTCCGAATGCCGCCCATCACATTTTTACACTTCTGCTTATTTCGGTAGTCTGATTTTATTTGTTTACCTTGACAATTTGATCCAGATATGTATCTTTATCTACGTGTTCTATCTCTGTCCGTTGGATGATTATCATAGGTTTGTCATCTATGTTTGACATTAGTTTAGTTTTGCTGAAGTTCATTTTCAGTCCTTTTTTTAGGGATTCTGTGTGTAGCTGATCAATAATCGTATTCAGCGCATTCCATGTGTCGGCTGTTAGTACTACACCATCTGCATATCTAAGATGGTTCAAGTATCTTCCTACTACCTACTAATGCTCTTCTATTTCCCACAGTTCTACGCTATCAAAAGCTTTTACATAATCTATAAAAGCCAGACAATGGGAGTTTGTATTCGTTAATCTTTTCTATTAGGATTATCAATGTATATAGATTGTCACAGATGCTGTACTCTTTTTTAAATCCGGTTTGTTGTACTGGGTTGATATCCGTTAAATTTAATTGTTAACCTGTTTGTAATAATCTTTGTAAAAGTTTTGTAAAGTTGTGAAAGAAGTGAAATTGATCTATAATTTTTCAGGTCTGTGGTGTCTCCCTTTGTGTGTATTAGTATTGTTTTAGCAGTATTCCATTGTTTCTGTATGTTACGTTCGAACATACATTTATTAAATAGTATTTTTAGATATGTGATGGCTTCTTCTCCGCCTTCCTTCAACATTTCTGCTAGGATTCCATCGCTTCCAGAAGCTTTATTCCTTTTTATTTCTTTTACTGCTCCTTCTATTTCTTCGTGGCTTATTTTGGGCATCACTTCTGAGTTGACATTGGTTATCTGCCTTTTTAAGTGTTGCTTTGAGGAGTTAGAGGATCGTTCCTGGAACGATACAGATCAGTGCAGAACTTTTCAATTGAGTTTGCTATGTCAGATTTACTTTTTTCTAGTTGTCCTTGTTCATTTTTAATGATTATTATGTTTTTCTTCACTAGTTTCGGTTTGATGCATTTGAGACTTCGGTTTTTCTCTACGACTTGTTCTATACGGTCTTCTTGATGGTTTTTAATGTCCCCTTTTATCTGTTTTCTTATTACGCGATTAAGTTTCTTTTCTTTGTTTCAGCATGTTTTGTGATTCTACATTTATTTTGGATTTTCGTTTTCTGTTAGCGGTTACCACTTCTGAGCTTGTATTCATCCTTCCTTTGTTATGACTTCATTGATTTCATTTAAGCTAAGTTTATCTAGATTTAATTTATAATTTACCACCCGTATATTTTGGTGCAATTGTGGGATATACCACTCTTATATTGTAACAGAAACAGCGAATATTAATTTTTAAAATCTGGATTTTGAAATAGTTACATAAAATGAGATCTTTGAATCGTTTGGAGGCTTTCGAAATGTAGTGTCTCAGAGGGCTATTTAGAAATTCATGGCGGACCATATATCAAATAATAAGCTTCTAAGAAGAATTAAAGTTCAAAAATAAGTTTTAAATATCGATAAGCAGCGCAGTCTGATAATTGGCCATATTTTACTAAATAATAAATATAATCTCCTAAATGCACATCTTAAAAAATAAAGTTAAAGGCCGAAGAGGTAGTGGGTGAAAAAGTCCTGGAAAGCAAGAAAATTTTAAATTGTGACATTAAACAAATTTTAAAACAAAATTTATAGGGATGATCAAATTATCTAATTCAAAAGACTGAATAGTATATTTTACATTCATTAAGAAACAATTACTAAAAATAATTTTGATAAAATAATCATACTAGCATACGTCAGCAAACCATTAATAGCTTACACTTTCTTGTTTTCCTGCTCTTAGAAATCATTTAAGTATTTTTTTAATCAACTTATAAGCAAAACTTCTATTGTTAGGGTAACAAGACTGAATTAGAGAAATATTAGAATATAAAAAGCATTTAACATAGTTAAATAGCTTCATAAAGACTCCTTTCATCGTTTTAGACTTACCTTGCTTAACAGCCATATAAGAAGTAATAACATCACAATTCCAGCCACCGCTGATACGATATAAATCCATAATGGGGCTACTTCCGGAACAATCTCTGTTTCTTTGGCAGGTATTTCAGTAAATATTTCGTATTTCTTCAGTACTTGTTTTTGTTTTTCGATTGCTCCCACGTATGGTAAGTCTGTGATCGACCCTACCATCATGGATGATAGTTTTATAGCTTGGTCACCACCAGAAAGCTAAAAATATGTATAATATTCAAACTCAGAAAAATTGTAATATTTGTATATACTACTTTTGGCTGTACTAAACATATATGTCATGTGTATTATTTAATACTTACTTCTCTAAGTGCTCTGACATTCAGTCTGGACCTCAAAGCAATGTACACATCCTTGTCTCTATCCAAAGCTCCTACAACGCACCTAATGTATATACATTTGGTAGCATTACACTTAATTAGAGCTTGTATGTTAGCATAGGGATCAATATCAGTCAATATTTGCCTTTTCGTTCTTGAATGCCTTCGTGGAGCATCGTTCTGAACGTCATCTTCAACTGAGTTGTGGAAGTAAGTCGTAGGAAGCTTGCCACTGGTAAAGGAACCACCTTCCGCAGACCATTCTCTTCTATATCCTCCAGATCCAGATCCTGAACCCTGTCCACGACTGGATGTGCTTTGTCCTGAACTCTGTCCATAAGTAGATGAACCTTGTCCATAATTCGAGCTACTTGCACTTCCCCCATAGTTTGAATTGAGTCCATAGCCCGAGCTTCCCCCATAATTAGAGCTACCTCTATAGTTGGAACTTCCACCGAAGTTGGACGACTGGCCCTCCGCTGCCCCTGTAGGATTCTTCGCGTGTTCTTGAATTTAAGTTTTCTCCTCCGCCTAAGTTGATGGTTTGAACGGTGAATCCTGAGCCTAAATCGTTGAGGTTACTGCTAAATGTGTGAGATTCGCCAGAGGAGAGGTCTATAGGGAAGGACGTGCTACTTTCAATCACGAAAGTTTTGTTATAGATGATTTCACCTGTAAAATTGTACAATCATTAATTAATATACTGTAGAATATGTATTTAGTTTGATTACAAAAAAGGCGTATTCATGGGAAACACATTTAGATATTTAGTTTTATTTAGAAAAATATTCATCAAATATTAACATGACTAATATAGATACTATATTATGTTTTATATCATTGTTTTAATCATAACAAATCATGAAGGATCATAATAGAATGATAAACAAAATAACAAACACATATATTAGATTAATAATAATAAAAAAAAGTTTCCATACTGATTTGTGGAAATTGATCCTAATTTTTTAGAGGAAGAATATTGAGGTGTGGTAAGCTAGATTTTATTATATATATATATATATATATATATAATATATATATATATATATATATATATATATATATACAAGCGAGGTTCCTACAGCCTCTGCCGCCTCTCGCATTTCGACCGTCATCGTTTTCTGTCCATCCATTCGTCTTCTTTGACGCTCTATCTCACAGTATGTGCCATACATTTTTTTCCCAGGCAACTGAGAATGAATTCTCCCTCTTAATACTGACAAAGAATGTAGTGCGTAGAATCTTTTAAGTAATTTTAAACTGTTTGTCCTTGTTTTAGTGTAGTGTTTTGTACAATTTCATGTTATTACTCATGTTTTTCACATTCTACGCTTGCTGGATAGCTCATATTGACGAAATGCCCCCGAAGATGCTATTTTAAGCGAAAGTACTTGGGCAAGATTTAATTAAACTTGTGCTGGATAATAGCCTTATTTTTCAAAGTTTATTCAGTATTTGTCCTCCTTCTAATATCTTCATTCCTGATATGATCTTTTTTGGATACACCACACGCTCTCCTTAGAAAATCCATTTCTACTACTTCTATTCTTTTTTCTATCTTTTTTCGTGATCTGCCAAACTTCTGCCCCATAAGTGATAATAGGCTCTACCAAGGTTCGATAGATTGTCAATTTCGTTTCTTGTTTAATATCTTTAGGCCATAATAGAGAGTTTAGAATGTTAACCGCTTTTTTTCCCTGCTGCGTTCTGTTTTCGATGTCTCTTTTGGTAGTGCCTTCTTTAGATATTATAGATCCGAGATACTTATCCGAGCTAGATTTTACGAACTAAAATCAATCCTTAAAAACAGTAGAAAATATTCCATTTTATTGAAAATTTCATTACAAGTACAAAAATAGAGATCCCGAACAAACATATAATTATGTAATCATATATGTATAAATCGCATCATCCATTCTCGCATAAAAAGTATGTAATTATAGGTTTTACTGATAGATCTATAAAACTAACAGATTCAGAATGCAGACCAACTGCAATAAAAAAGCAAAAAATGTCCTCTTAAGTAATGCATATCCCGAACAATTAATCGAAACGGTTTTCAAATCAACAATAAATAAACTTTGGCTCAAACAGTGGCTCGAAGAGGCAACAACCTTTTAAATAAATAAAAAACAAAAACTCCAAAACTTAAAAAACCACACGTTGTTGACGAGATACCATGTATTTAGTGTGTAGGTGTCTATATTGGGCAACCTAGTCAACTGCTTCAATCCAGAATTTGTTCCCAAAAATACATACACTTTTAAGTGTAGTGTGCCGGCAAGATCGACTCCAGTAGTCATTTCCATTGCCCTAATTATTATTGTTTTATAAATTCTTCTTTTATTTTCTTTTTTCTTTTATTATTTCCACAATAGTCCGTATAGCTGTCTAGTGGCTGATCTTGCTCGGCCAATCCTAGAATGTATTTCTTCGTTATCCCTGCTTTTGATGTTATTTTGACCAAGTATTTGAAGGTTTCCGCTGATTTTATATTTCCCATGTCAATTTGTAGGCTTTCTGATTTTTCTCCTGTAACTGGTTTTTTTGTATATTAATTGTAAAGCCCCACTTGGTTTACTCCTCCTCCAGTTTTTTAAGCATATAGTCTATATCGCTCTCGTCTTCAGCTTGAATGGCTTGGTCGTCAGCAAAGTGTATCGTGTACAATCTCTCGTATTCGATTGCTATGCCCCTATTGCAGCATTTTCTTCTCCACACTGAAGAATTTTGAAGAGTATGGTGCTACGCTAGGGAGAAGGTCAAAGGGAAGACCCAAACGTAGATACATGGAACAAGTGGAACAAGATCTGAAAACACTAAGATTACCAACTGGAAAAACAAAGCAAAGAACAGAACAGAATGGCGGAAAATTCTAGAACAAGCCAGGACCCAGAAAGGGTTATCGAGCTACTGATGATGATGATGTAGATGCTACGCAGTAGCTTTGCTTTAGAACCTTACTAATACTAATAGGAATACACCCTTACTAATAGGAATTTCTTTAGTTAATTTGTTTCTAGTTTTAATGTTTACCGTCCTATTTTTGTAAAGCTGTTGTACTGATTTTATATATTTTTTATTTATTTCTTGTTTTCCATTGCTACCCAGAGCATTGAAAGTGGTACACTATTATATGCCTCTATCAGATCTATAAAGGCTACATGAGATGAAAGGTTGTGGGCTGATCTATTCTCAATAACCTGCTTTAGAGAAAATATCCTGTCTATACAGGATCTGCCTGCATGAAAGCCATTTTGTTCTTCTAGATCTGTCATCTCTTTTTACTAACGCAATCAATGACAAAAAATATATAAAGAACCTAAATAAAATATATTTCAATCTGATATAAATAATAAAAATCTTAAAGTTGTAACATTATCTCCACTTTGCCTCTTTTGATAATACCAAAAATACGCCCATGTAAACATATTAATGACAATGACAATAAGCAATGAGATATCAGATGTCAGTTTTTACTCTGTAATCGTTCATTAATGTTAGTGTTTCGTTTTACGTGCTGGTAAGATATTATTATGTTCTATAAGAAGATCTTATTCTCAATTCTTGTAGATTTTAGAATTTTGACAAAGGCAAGGATTACCTGCCGAAATGTTGATTTTAATAGAATAATAAAATTTGGTTCCAAATTTAACAGTAAAAGTCAAATTATCAGTGAATTATTTTACTCCCACTTCTTTCAATGCTATAACGTAAAACCTCAGTATACTTACAAGAAACACAACATATGAGCATCAGTATAATTTAAATTGACATTTTTTTGGTGCCGAAATACCATGTATTACAATACAATAAAATACTACAGATAATGGTACCTCAGAATAAAAAATTGTACTCGTGTTATAATAAATCTAACTTGGTAGCAAAAAAAAAATAAAACTGATTATTTTTGGAAAGCATTACAAATTTTTGCTCTTAAAGCTATTGGCGTAAGCGAAAACAGCAGCTGCAGAATTGATGTATTTATAGAATGATATGTGAGATATTATAGAGGAAAAACCTTACCCAATATGAATAATAAACCTAAGAACTACTCTTATGTAAATATATGCTTACTTGGATTCTTGGCAGCATGGTACTTTCCTTGTGAATCAAAATATCCGGTAACTATTCTTTTATTACCATACCGATCATAACTACTGGAGCTGGTCCCTAGAATCAGATGTTAAAAAGGAAGTTTCTTTTTTGTAAATTCTGTATTGAGTAACTATGGATCTACTACAGTTATTTCTAACTTTTGGATTATCGGCTGTTTATTACAAGTAGAAATGCTTGAATATTAGTTTATAGGATAGAACTAAGTTACAACAACTTTATACAAGAAATTTAGGTAGGTCCTTTGTTCATGTCGATATTTTATTAACGTAAAACGATTCCTTAGATTCCTTATTGTACTTGAACCTCTGCGTTCGTCGGTTAAAGAAATTTGGTAATGTGTTTTTAATTAATATTATATCTGCTTCCATTGCCATAGTGTATTTAATCGTGGTCATGATTTGTTGTTATGGTTTATTTTCTCTTTGATAGTTTAAGCATTAAGTATTAGGATAAAGTAACCTCCTTTGAAATGAAAAACATGTTTTTCCAGAAAATTATTTCATTTTCTTTGATATAGTCTCCTTTTAGCTCAATACAACGATTCAAGCGAATCTCTAACTTTTTCAGTGGTGTGATTTTTATATTTTCTGAGTGCTTCTTTATTATGTCCTTAAGTTATTTTCAAGAGATAACTGAGACTTTTTGTTAAATAGCCAGTTATTATTTTTTTAGTTTAAGATCTAGATGTTTCCGTTTAGTTTTAATGTGCGTTGTCCCTGTAAGTTGTTGATCCAGATGCAGTCCTAAGTATTTGACAACTGGTTTTATAGGCATGGGAGTATTATTAATATAGACTTGTGGACATGCAGATTTTCTTGTTGATCGTTGATGTTGATTGAAGCGATGATCTTCTATCGCTTAAGATAGTTTTGTAATTGGACTAAATGATGTATTGTATTTTTTATGATGCTACATTAGGGTTGATATCCACTACCAAAATTCCCGTAGGCAAAAGTAGCTAAGGTATCAATGCTGGAACGTCTGCTGTAAATATTAAATACAGAAATGGGCCCAAAACAAAATGGGATTGTATGATGAGGTAGCTGTTTTAGTAGCTGTCTTCAATTTTGACTTGGAAGTAACGGCCAGTAAGATACGATTTTAGTATAAAATATAGTTGGTCTGTTAGGTATAATTTCAGTTTGTAGAGGAGACCTTCATGCCATACTCTATTATATGCCTGTTTTATATCTAGAAAAACTCCAGCGCACAACTTTTTTTCTCCGAGAGTGGTTTTAATTATATTTACTATTCTGTGGCATTGTTGAATGGTCAAATGTTCACGTCTAAATCCGAATTGGTGTTGTGGTATAATTTCCTTAATGGGAACAACTTGCTCGATTTTATGTAAAAGTAGCCTTTTTAATATTTTCGACATTCTTGGGAGTAGGCTTATAGGCGATATGAATTTGAACAAATTCAACAAATTTGAACTTGAGCAAATTTCCATTGTACTGGAAAGTATCGAAGACGTAGTACGCTGTTATATATTATTGTTAATAATACCACTGCTTTCCTCGGCAGCTTCTGAAGTAATTCTCCTGTTATCAAATCATAGCCAGGAGCTTTCTTATGATTTAGCATTTTTATAGCTAAAAAATGCTAAAAATGATTTAGCATATGAATTTTACTAGATGTTTTTGTTATTTATCACTATTATCGAAATAATTACAGATACATACAAAGGGATTGGGCCTGTTTCGTCACGTTCAATATTTCACATCTATTTTATTGTTTGTGTAAGTATTCTATCCACAAACTGTTGCAGTTTCATTAAAATAGATTCTGATGATATTAAAAAAATCGAAAAAAACAAAATATTTACAATGTTATTACTTATGAAGATACAAGGTGTCCAATGGAATCATGTTTCATACACCCCTTAAATTTTCATAAAAAGCCCAAATTCCTAATTGTTTGGATGTTAATTATGTCTAGTTTTTCAAAAAGGTCTAATAAGAACTCCCAAAGAATTACCCTGCGTGTGTTATTATTTTTGTTGGTGATCGAATAAGCATGTAGAAAAATAAATTGAAAGTAGAAGCTGTAGCTTAATATTAGATGTAAGCGTTAAGTAATCACAAATTATTCAATCGAAAATGTTAAGTTACCTCCGTTTAGGCCACCATTTTCTCTTCTTCTCAATTCATCAAAATATCTCCTAATCTGCTCTTCAGACCAACCGACGAATTGTCCACTTTGCTGCATTCTCCTTTTTTCTTCCTCTAGTCTTCTGGTTTCTTCCTGCTGACGTCTCCACTGTTCCAACCTGATTTGTTCTTGTCTACGTCTCTCTTCCAATATTTTTGTTTGTTCCAAACGACGTTTTTCCTCTTCTTTTCTCCTCTCGTCCTCTCTAATTTTTTGTTCCTGCCTCCTCCTTTCTTCCTCTCGCCTCCTTTCTTCTTCATATCTACAAAATGGATGAATTAAAACAATTTATGTTTAAAAAAATAAGAAACTAACTTATGCTTTTTACAGTAAATAATTAGATAATTAGTAAGTGATGGATTCTACCATGGAAATTCATTTTATATAACAATAAAACACTGCAAACTTTGTTTTCAAAACTTCCACAAAATTTATTATACTATCTTATCACTACAGCAGTTTCGACAGAGTACCTTTCTCAAGTGATCTATTTTTGGTATGTGTTTAACTTTATAGTCTTTAACTGAATGGGTTGAAGAGGAGAGAACTGTTGGTCGTTCAGAATTATGTCTGTATTTTTTAATTCGTTAATTTCCGTATCGTGTAATCGAGCAAAAGGTACTGGGTTTCTTCTCTGGTGGTGGAAATACTAATTTCTACTAATTTCAGGGCTTTCTTATGTAGTTTTTGATTTAAAAGTTTATTAATTGTTTGTTCGTTGTACACGTTGTTTAATGCTATTTGCTTAATCATATTTAATTCTATCTCAAAGTTTTTGACATCAGAATTTCTATTAATCTATGTAACATGCTGTGGTATGCTGCGAATTTATGTTGTGTAGGATGGGATGATGAATTGTATATAGTCGTGTCAGTATGAGTAGGTTTATGAGATTCGCAGAACTCATGTTTGTTTTAGGTCTGATTTACATATATTAAAAACAACAAGAGGCAAAATAAAAAGCTTTTACACAGTGGTATATACAAGCTTAAATGTGGCAACTGCCCAAAAACTTACATCCGTCAAACAGGTAGAATTTTTAACCAACGTATAGCAGAACATAAAAGGGCTTCTAATAATAGAAAAACAGATTCTACATACGCACTTCACCTTCTAGATCATAATCATTCTTTTAATGATGAATTTCAAACTCTTTATATCCAAAATAATGGCGTTAAGCCTTAAGCTATCCTTATTAGAATTTATGGAAATTAACCAATTAAAAAATACAGACAATTATGAATGACCAACTTGAGACAAACAGTTCTCCCTCCTGAAGCTATTCATTAAATACTATAAAGTGTAAAAACACATCAAAAATAGATCACTTGGGAAGAACACTCTGCCAAAACAGCTGTAGTGATAATATAGTATCATAAATTTTGTGGAAGTTTTAAAAGCAAAGTTTTCAGTGTCTTTTTGTAAGACAATTAGTAGATTATATATTGATTTATATGAAATTAAATTACAATTGATTGTAATGCGAATTATATTTTACTTTTTCTTTTTGACGATTGGTAAAAAAAATTTTGAAAACGATTTTCGGATTTGATATCAAAACGTCAAAACAAATATAAAATGTAAATCTTATTACCATCCATTGTGATTTAATCCCGTAAAAAACAATATTTAAGTTAAACATTCCTTAAGAAAACCTAGATAGTAGACATTTAGTAAAATAATCAAATATAGTTAAAAAAAAAACTTTGTATTACCTATTAGGATAAGTCGGATATCTTGAAGTAGTTGGGGTATTATGTTCTTGTATTCTTCGCCTTTCTTCTTCTCTTCGCAATTCCTCTTGTCTCCTTATTTCTTCTTGTCTTCTTATTTCCTCCTGTCTTCTTATTTCTTCTTGTCTTCTTATTTCATCCTGCCTTCTTAATTCATCTTGTCGTCGTTTTTCGTCCTCCCTTCGTCTTTCTTCTTCTCTTAATCTAATTTCAATTCGCCTCCTTTCTTCCTCTGTTTTCTTACTTTCTTCGACTCTCCGCTGTTCTTCAATCCTTCTTTGTTCTTCAATTCTCCGTTGCTCTTCTTGTTTTAAAAGCAATTCATCCTGTCTTTTTCTTTCCTGTTCAATTCGTATCTTCTCTTGTTCTTGTTTAAGTAACTCTTGTCTACGCAGTTCTTCCTGTCGTCTCCTCTCCAGTTGTTCTAATCTTTGTTGTTCTTCTCTTTTTAGCTCTTCCTGAATAGTGAGTATATTTCCTTCTACAAATTAAACATATATTATATTAATATACATAATATATTAATTTATGTATGTAATAAATAATTCGTTTGTATAGAAACTAAAAATCTAATAGAATTTATTTCTTACAATTGTGCAATTCTAGTTTTCATTGTCTTTGCTTTACATTGTTTACATAGTTTTGAAAGTTACATAACTGGTTGGGCCGTTTTCTGTCTTACAGTTGTAGAGGAAATGGTCCTCACTTTTGTTTTATGGGATAACACTTTTAATTTTTTACTAATTTTTTTATATTTTTGAGCAGATCGTTTACAAACCTTATTGCATTACGTTTTCCAAAAAAAAAAAAGTTCAAAAATGATATTCAAAAAAATATAAAACGTTGCGCTTTTAAGTAAGTATATACTCCTACCACACTGCTCTAAATATGAGCCCTCTTCTGTTGCCTACCTAACTTAACAAAAAAAAACTTAACAGATTTTATTTATTGGTAAAAATGCACATTTTATAACATTTATTTTCAAAAATACAAATATAGTTGTCTTGTTCTGCGCCAGAACATTGTTCATGTGAGCATAATTGGCACAAGAGACAACAAATCCACAGCTATCCTCCTTTGTCCTTCTTGAAAATCGACCATCATAAAATATGCACTCTGTGTCATTGTTTTCTGGAATGTTACCAATTCTTCTAAATCATCGTCTTCGTCAGCTGGTACAAAATCTTCATCTTCTGAATCGCTTTCAGATTTCTTCTGTTTTTTCCTGACTTTTTGTTTGCTAATTCAGAAGTAGCAAAGACCTTCCTTTTTGCTTTTTCTGTTTTTACAGCTTTTGCAGCTGCTTTTTTTCCAATGACATCTCCAACTCTTGTCTATACGGCGACGAAATTATAATTTTTGATTCAGCAGGCTTTCTGCCTCGGGTGGTTGTTTTCTTTTTAATATCTGGTTGTAGAAACAAAGTTATCAGTTTTTGCTACATATTTTCTTAAATAGCTAGGAGAATAAATGTTTTTGCTGCATCCCGGTTGCGACTTCATACCTGTTGTCGATTTTGTTAATACCATGTCTGCTGTCGATTTTGGTAATACAACAGTCTTGGCTACAGAATCGCTTAACTAATAAAAAAAAAATAATTTTTCTTTGATACTTCCCGTTTTAGACTCAATGTCTTTTGAAATATCTTTTGCCGATTTTGGTTGTGCATCATTGGGTTCATTGTCAACACCATGACAAGAAGTATCCTCACTTATGGGTGTGAAAATTGGACAATAAATAAGAAAACCAAAAACAAAATAAGAGCAACAGAGATGGAATTCCTAAGGAGAAGCTGCAGAGTAACAAGAAGAGATATAATATATAACATGGAGATTAAGAGGAGAATGGGAATGAACTCCGACATAATAGACTACATCGAGCAGAAGAGGTTAACCTGGTACGGACATGTCAGAAGAGCAGACCAAAATCGGTGGATAAATAGAATAACAGAGTGGAGCCCGATAGGAAAAAGAAAGAGAGGCAAACCCCGAAGATCTTTCTGTGGAAATCCTTGTATATATATACATATATATATATATATATATATATATATATATATATATATATATATATATATATATATATATATATATCATTGGATTTGTCTGCAATGAAATCTACTTCAGAAAATATGTTCCTATTAAAGAGCCAAATTACAGTTAAAACTAGTTGATTTTCTCTTGCACGTATACTAGCAATACACGTATTTCTTCGCTATAATAGATTTTAAAAGCGCTCAAGAATGATTTATCTAAGGGCTGGAGCTTATGAGTCGTGTAATGCGGTAATGAAATGATAACTACATGATGTTCTAAATTAATGATGTCTAAAATGCTTGTGTGGCTGTAATGCTTATCGAGTACGAGAAGAACTAGCGACTCTTTACTTGGTTTAACAAATTTGAAAACATACTGAAACCATCGCGTAAAACTGTTCTGTTGAACTTAACCGCTAGAATGAACTTTATACATTGATTCAGTTGGTCAGTTGGTCGTTTGTATTGTTCCTAGAAAAAATGAACATTCGTGGAATATAAAAACCTTCAGCGCTTATAGAAACAATAAGTGTTGAAAGTGGAAATTGAAATGTCAATAAACGTATTTTTATCTTTAATTGTGGCTTATTCCCAGTTAGATAGTAATTAATTTAAAATGCTACAAGAAAATAGCTTCAGAACAACATTGTAACATATTTCGAGCTGCTGTAAATAGAATAGGTTGGGTCAATTTGGTCGCCAGCATCACAAGAAGATATTCCTTTAGAAGAAGAAGTCGGTAAAACAGACTCTTTATAGTTTTAATTATTTGTATGTTTCATAAATATTACAAGTACAAATCACATAAATATTTACTTTTCCGCCAATCCTTGTTGAAAATACTAAATAATATTGTCACTCGCACTGATTTGCTTCCAAATAGAATATTTGTTTTTTAGAGTTTCGGGTATGCTTATTAAATGCATTTTGTCTATTACATATTTGAAAAAGTTCCAAAATGATATATCTTGTTTAAACTCATTATGAAGTGAAGACATATGTATTTTAAGGCAATGGTTTCCAATAAACGCCGTACTCCGCGTCTAGCGATACGCCGCGCCGTCGCGTCTGTATGCTTGTACAGCAGTTTCACGCTGCATTCAGCTTACAATTATTTATTATATAAAGCATACAGATGCGATGTATGGCGTAATGTTACACACGGCATACTGCGTTACTGCGTATGGCGTTTATAGAAGACCACCGCCTTTTATGATAGAATAGTACCACAGTATAGACAACAACATAGTACGAAGAAATTTGACGTTTGTTGATATTGTCATAGTAATGAGAAGGCAAATAAAAGTTTAAAACAGATGCTGTCTTTTAATTTCTAATTTTTTCACCAGAAGACTATGTTTTTATGAAATTTAAACAAGATGTTTTATACAGGTGTATATTATCGAATGAATACTTAAATTTATCCCAATGTTACATAAGGACAAACCAATATTACGTTTAAATATGATTTTACTTACGTTCATTGATTGGTGTGACTTCGCCAGTGTTTTCGTCCCAGTAGTAACTTCTTAAAATATTTCCGTTTTCGTCCGTTATCGTTGTTTTGTTTGTCCAAACAATATGTCGGTTTCCATTTTCGTCCACTGTGATCTGATAACTTGCTTGTCGGTGTTCGAATTCTCCTCGTCTCAGTTCGAATTTGTAGCTTAATTCATCGTTGCCGTTGCCGTTGCCGTTGCCATATTGACCGTCAGTATTGTCGTTGTAGTATAAAGTTTTAATAATATTACCTTGGGCATCTCTAATAGTTGTGGTGTTCTCCCACGTAGTAACAGCCTGACCGTTGATGAATTTCTAAAAAAATTGGAAGTTAAGTAAACCTTAATACATATGATTGCACATGTAGATGATTAAAGAGGGGTGTAAAATAAAAATAAAATAGACAGTTACGGTTTGATTTCGTTACCCTTCGCCAATACATACGCATATTTCTGCCTCTTAGCGTCCTCAAAGCACACTTATGGTAAGCTCTAACGAAATAAAACCTCTTCCATCCATAAAAATAAATATTTACCGACAGATGCAAAACGACATCTACTAACGAGAATATAAATCGGAAATTTGATTCATCATTCCGCCCAAATCCGTTTTCAAAACTTATCAAAACAAAACAGACGACGAATGCACCGAAATGCACTGGAATGGTGACTGATAATTTTAATTCATGTTATACCAATTCGTCTAGGCAGAAATACCTTCGTAAAACGATTTAATAATACCCTAATAGAGTAAAATGAATGGCCGGAACAAATTGGAAATATGTTGCTCAGAATAGAGATCGATGGAGAGATGCCTATGCCCAAAAATGGACGAGAGAAGGCTAAGAAGAAGAAGAAGAAGAGAGTAAAATGTAAAATATACATTTTACTATATTTTTCTTTGTTTCTATCTTCAACAAATCTCAAAACATAATTTTCTGTAGATTTCAAGTATCGCAAAACATTTTTCCTTTTTTTTCCAATGTTCTTTTCCAATGTTCTTCCTCTTCTGTTCTTCCCTACTGGTTTGGCGTCCCACACTCTTTTTACTTGTCTATTATTGTCCATCCGGGTTAGATGTACGAACCATGCCAATTTTTTCTCCTTGATTGAGTCGAGTATCAGTTTGATTTTGAGTCTTTCTATTATTTCTTCATTTCTCATTCTATCAGTTCTTTTTACTCCGATCGTTTTTCTGAGGTATTTCATCTCTGCTGCCTGAATTCTGCTTTGATGCCTTCTGTTTAGTATTCAATTTTCTGCTCCATATGTTACTGGAGGTCTATATATTGTTTTGTATATTGTCATCTTGGTCTTTGTTGATATTTCTTTATTATTAAGGAATCCTCTGTTTAGTGCTTGGATTAGTTTTCCTGTGATTTCCATTCAGTCCTCTTCTGCCAAATACTTTACCCTGCATAACGAGTTGAAGAATTCGATATTTTTCTTCGTTCCGCATCACGTGGCCGAGGTACTCAAAGCTTACGTTGTTTCCATGAAATGACCTTTGAGAATTTCTTTGATTTAAAAAAACTTCAAGAATATTGGGGAAACATATTTTCACTGCATGACAACAAAACTTGGCACGATATTAAAATTTTAAAAGTTGAAAAAGATCATCCTATGTCCTTTTTCTACAAAACGTCATACGCTGATCAAGATTTTAAAAAGGTGTTCATCCGCAATGAGAGGAAATTAAGAAATGCTGAAGCCGAATTTCGTCCCACATTAGTTCGAGCGTATACTCAAAAGCAACCTTTATCTGACGCAAAAAAAAAGATATCAAAGAACTTGTTGATAAAAATGTCATTCCAAAAACAAATGTTAACTCTTATTATAACAACATTATTGACTGATTTTTAAAAATTATTTTTAGTTACAAGCTTTGAGCTGTTGAATTATTAAGATTTAAGTGCACCATGCATGCATATTTTGACACTACGGCAGCCATTTGCGTTTAGGTCACGTCACGTGATTCACGGCAGTTGTCAGTTGCTGTTGCCTCATTTTCGGTTTAGTACGACGATTAAGTTGGCGATCCAGTTTATATATAACATCCTTATGTACACCGTATAGGACATTTGGACCCAACAGAAAAACTAAACAGGTAGCAGAGCATTTTGAGGAGCTATTAAATGCAAACGATAAAGAAAGGGACCTTCAATAACCAATACAACAACAAGAATACGACTCAGGAGAGGAACCAGAAAAAGACCAAACACTTCAGGAAGTAAAAGAAGAAATTGAAGATTAAAAAAACAATAAGAGTGCTGGAGAAAGTGGAATCCCAGCAGAGATATTTAAAGAAGGAGGAGAATTAAAGACTAAAGAAAGAATAGTTCGACTATTATTAACAGTCTTGCAAACGAAAAATATGCCGCAGCAATGGAGTAGCGCACTTATCTGTCCAATCTATAAAAAAGGGGACGAAACAAAGTGCGAAAATTATAGTGGGATATCGCTATTAGAATTAGCCTACAAAATACTAGCAAAAATTATCAGAAATAGCTTAAAAAAGTATGTAAACAAGACTATTGGAGAATACCAAGGAGGGTTTAGGCCAGGAAGAACAACAACAGATAAAATATTTTTATTAAAAATACAGAACGATAGTCACGAGAAAAACTTGGGACTGTGCAAGCTATTTGTCGATTTTAAGCAGGCTTACGATTTAGTCAACCGCGGTATGCTATATGAAGCTATGAGATCGTTAGGTCTCCAGAGAAACTAATTAATTTAGTGAAAATGACACTCAACAACACCAAGAATAGGATAACAGAGGGACTGGAGAAACAGTCCAGAAGACCGGACAGAGTGGAAAAAGATTACGCAGTATATAGAAGCCAGAGGCTTACCAGGCCTGTAGAGCTGTAATATATATTTCCCATTTTTACTTATCTACCTGAATCAAAGAATACCATGAATTTAATAATAATTATACGATTTTAGCATAACAATAAATTTTTGAAAGGTTCTTTTTTCAATTATTCAAGTTTAAAAAACAAAATAAAAATACGAAATTGGAAGATACGAAAAATGATAAAATCGGAATTTCTAATAAACAAAAGAAACGGAAAATAGAATAATCATAAAATGGGAGAATGGTAAAAAACAAGAAATTAAAAAATTTAAAAATGAAAAATTCAAAATTTCGAGAAATCGACAAATTGCAAAATCTAAAAATGATAAAATCGGTACTTAGTAAAATTAAAAAATCGAAAACTACACTTTTTAATTTATAGGATAAACTATGATTAAAAAATTCTTGAATGTCTTTGATTTTATTAAAATATCAACTTCGATTATTTATTTTCTTGAAATATAAAATTTTAAAACAACCAAGAAATATTTACAATAAGTTAAATTCTAATAAATAAAAATAAGTTTGAATTAATTCAGAAAGTCGAAAATTGGTGTTTTCATAAAATTTAGATTCAAGTAACATTAGATAATTTAAATTAAGTTTTGCCTCTTTTTCACTCTGCACAATACACAATAAAATTGTATTACACTCAGAACTAACTAGAACAACCACTCGATACGACTACCAAATGAACAATGAAAGAGTCGGGCGTCTTCGGAAAAGTTCGCACTTGATATATAAAACAATTTCGGGTCGTCTTATATCTATTGCGGTATTGCGCTATTTCTCCGATAGAGGCAGCATCTCTCGGAAAGAATCTTTTCTCTCTGTTGTACTGCTAGTAGAGGGACCTCTCTTTCATACAACGGCCAGCCTTAAGCGATTTTATTTTTCGATACTCAATATTAATAGTTTCAAGTACAAAATAAAATGTTACCTATTTGTATAATATGTTTCAAATGTAATATTCTATTTCTAATGTGCCATAAAGATTATAAGCTCATAGGTACTGTATTGTATGTCTCATTGTAATTTTCACGTTACGTTACGTTACGTTAACTTTTTAATTTTTTCTTTTTTCATTTCACATTTTACATTAATTGAAGCTATTTTTTTTAGTTTTTTTTTTAATTTGGTTTTTGGTACCATTATTTCTATGTTTAAGATATTATTAATCACAGTGCCTGAGTAACCAATTAAATGAATCTTGAAAAAATTGTGTGATTTACGTCCTACACACACTGTGATTAAAGTTGTGATTCTTCTAAATTGTAATAAAGAATTTGAATGAATTTGCTTGGATTTTATTTGATAGCTTTTAACTTATTTCCATAACAAAGCTGCAACTGAAACGTGATATTTTTAAATGCCACCATTTTGTTAATAATTTTGTGATAAAATAATAATGTTTATTATTTGAAACAACTCAAAATAATTCAACAAAAGAAGAACAAATGAAAATATCGAAGAAAAGATACGAAATGAAAATCAACAAAACAGGTGCAACTAAAATTTTGAATTTAATCTTTGAATATTGCATCTAGTTTAACCGGTACTAGAGAAAATTAAAGAAATAGCACTAATGTACTATGCTATGCTTTTAAAATACGGTAAAATTAATCATCACAAAAATTTGTATTTTTTTGAGTTTCTAAAAATAACATTTTTTGAGTTAACTCTCTTTTAGTGCCCGGGGTGCGATATCTTTTGCTTGTGTTCTTTTCCTTGCCTTTTTTACATGTCCTACAGGAGTCACTTCAACATCCATTAGCAATCGATGAAAAATATTACTGTAAAACTACTTATTTAAGAAAATAACTATGCAAATAATCATTATACTTGATATGAGGTTGAATGCTCGAATAAATGAATTTTGAAAATTAAGGCAATTATATCGAGCACAAGTTTAATCAAACCTTGCTCAAGTACTTTCGCTTAATATAGCATCTTCAGGGGCATTTCGTCAAATATGGGCTATCCAGCAAGCGTAGAATGTAATAAACATAGATGGTAACATAAAATTGTATAAACACTACACTAGAACAAGGACAAACAGTTTAAAATTTTAATATACATCATATAATATAATATTAAAGGCACAATGTGACTTTACAATAAGCTTATTTTGATGTTTAGATTTTTAATTCGGAAATCGTACTTAAAATACGAAACAATAATAAATTTTATTTATATAAAACGATTTCCGAAGTGGAAACCAAAATGTAATATTACACTTATTGTAAAGTAAAATTTTGGTATATTCCCAATAAAAAACAGTAAGCTGCCATTTAAATCCATTTTGCCCAAATTTGATTATCTTAGAACATTGTTTAAATGCTAAAAAGACAACAAGTCAAATAAAACCTATAAGTTTGGCCACGTTCAATTTCCCCCTTTTTTAATATTTCAACTCATTCATTTTCGGCGATATAAAGGGCAGACCTAATATACCCCTCTCTTTTTAAACAGGTGTTTCTCACTCCATCTTTCGTGAAGTCCATACCGACCATAAACTTTTACCTATACTGTGTATATATATATATATATATATATATATATATATATATATATATATATACATTGAGACAAGAATTGCCCTATTTAAGAAACTGGCACCGCCCTCCCGAGGCTAGCGACTGTAAAATGAGATATTTTTGTATGTCATGTTATGAATTTGTAATTTAATTTAATTTTTTTACGATTGCACTTTGACTTGCCTTTTTCTAATTCTAATACTAAATAGTAAACTACTTACCGTAAATGATTTACTGACAGTCAGCTCATATTGACCATAAGGATTCAGTGTACCCCAACTGCTAACTTCTGAGGTACTTTCGTTGTGTCTGTGCGCCCAAACCGCAGACGAATCGCCTCCAGCCTTTTTGATATCCTGTTCTGTTTCACTAGGTTTATTAATAACTCCGATTCCACTATTAATACCACTTCCAATTTCTATGTTATGTTCATTTCCATTCTCCTTGGAGACTTTTTGAGCATTAGCTGCATTGAAAGCGGATATATCGATGTTGTAGCGTTCCCACAATGTGTTTAATGTAGCCTCTGACTGAAAAATAGATAAAACAAAAATAGTTTAGATTAACTGATCGAAACTAAGCTGAAATAAAAGAACGATTACGAAAAAGAGAAAAACATATTAAACCGACAGAACGTTAAGTACTTACTTTTATTTTTCTATAATTAGCAAATTGAACATGGTCACACTTAACATCACCCTTTGTGATTGGTTGCTCCATTAGGTAAAGGAGATCCTCACCACCAAGCGATGTAAGAGGCCAAAGAATGAACACTTCGGCCTCTTTAATTGTAGAGGGACCTTTGTTTGTTACGAAATAAACATGAGCAACCTCGGGACCGATGTCCGACTCTTTCCTAATTTCTTTCATTGTTCCAGAGGTTTGGGCGGATTCGTTATAATAGCTAAGAGGTTGAAGAGTAGGGAAACTTTGTCTAAAATAAAAATAAAAGCAATTTTATTATTTATTTTACCATAAAACTTAAGTTATTTAATAATATACTTTTTACTATAATAATACTTTTTAGAGTAATATTCTACGATAAGACCAAATTTCATATCCGTATAGTATACAGAATATACATAACATTTTAGGAACTTAATTCTTAGTTGTTCGTTCAGCTGAGAATTCAGAGAAGTTTTATTTTATAAATGCTTCTCTTGCCGTTGATATACGAGTTCTAATGTGTTCATCAGGATTAGTGTGCCATTTATCCAGCATAGTAAGTATTTAAAATGGGTAATTTTTTTAATGGTATCATTGTTGAAAACTAGTTAATGATACAATTCTTTATAAATATATGAAAGTGTTTTACTCGAAGAGTGTTGATATTTATACAGTATTTTTAGAGTGGTATTTCATCGATTTTTTTTTTAAACTATTCTCTATCCTTCCATTGTTGGATATAGGTCTCCCCCAGTTCTCTCCATCTTTCGCTATCTTGAGCTGTTATCTACCATGTATGACCTCCTTGTTTCCTGATGTCATCTTTCCACCTCATCTGTGGTCTGCCTCTTGATCTCTTTGCATTGTATGGACGCCACTTTCCGATGGCATTGTTCCATTGTCCGTCTTGGAGATGTTCATTGTGTCCAGCCCATTTCCATTTCAGTTTTGCTGTTTGTTCTATCGCGTCTACTGTCTTTGTTCTGGTTCTGATCCACTGGTTACGTTTTCTATCTCTAAGTGATACACCCAACATTTGTCTCTTCATCGCTCTTTGTGCCTTGCTTATCCTATCCAAATTGGCCTGTGTAAATGTCCATGTCTGTGCTCCGTAGGTGAGCACCGGTATTATACAGGAGTTATATACCTTGCTTCGTAAGTATAGAGGAATTGTTTAATTTTTTAGAACGTAAGAAAGTTTGCCGAACGCTGCCCATCCCATTCTTACTGGTCTCGATATTTGGGCTGTTTGATTTTCTCTGTTAGCTCTGATTGCTTGTCCTAGGTAGATATACTCATTTACCTGTTCTATTTTTTCTGTTTTTATTTTTATTGCCTCTTGGTCTTCCGTGTTTGTCATTACTTTTGTTTTGTTGAAGTTAATTTTTAGGCCTTTTTGCAGTGATTTTTCATGAAGTTCATTCAGCAATAATTCTAGTTCTTGTCGTTCCGAGGAGATCAGGAGTATATCATCTGCATATCTAAGGTGATTTAGGTATTTTCCGTTAATACATATTCCTCTGTTTTCCCAATCTGTTGATTTTATTATGTCTTCGAGGGTCAAGGTAAACAGTTTAGGTGAAATTATATCGCCTTGTCGGACTCCTCGTTTAACTCTTATATTATCCGTTATTAATTTGTCGTCCAGAATTACGGTCATGGTTGCGTTTTGGTAAATATCATGTATTAATGTCAGTATCTTGAATCTATTCTACTATTGCCCAGAGCTTCTTCAACCGCCTAGTGTTCAATGCTGTCGAAAGCCTTTTCATAATCTACGAATACTAAGTACAGCGGAAGGTTGTATTCATTGGTTTTCTCAATTAAGATTTTAAGCGCATGTAGATGGTCGATTGTGCTTTATCCTTTCCTGAATCCGGCCTGTTCCACTGGTTGGTAGTTATCAAGTTTATAGGTTAGTCGGTTGTTTATTATTCTTGTGAAGGTTTTATATAGTTGTGATAAAAGGGAAATAGGACGGTAGTTGTTTAGGTCTGTTCAGTCTCCTTTCTTATGTATTAAGATTGTGTTGGCATTTCTCCATTGTTTAGGTATTTTACCTTCAAACAGACATTTGTTGAACAGTATTTTTAGCATTTTTTTTTATCGTGTCTCCTTCTTTTAGCAGTTCCGCCAGTATTTTGTCCTCACCGGCCGCTTTATTTCTTTTCATGTCGTTTATGGATTTTTCGATTTCACCTTCAGTTATTTCTGGTAATACCTCTGAGCCAACATTTTGTATTTTCCTCGAGAGATTCTGTTTAGATGATAGTGGTGGGTCATTTTTATAACTGTATAGGTCTGTGAAATATCTTTCTGTGATTTTTACTATTTCTCCTAGATCTCTTTCTTCATTGTTCTCATCTTTAAGCATGATTAGTTTTCTTTTTCCTGTATTTGTCTTCATTGTTTTTAAACTTTTGTTCTTCTCTATGATTTTCTTAATGCGGTCTTCTTGGTATTTCTTTAAATCTTCCTTTATCTGTTTTCTTATGGTTTTGTTCAGTTTGGTAAACTCCACTGTATTTCTTTTGTTATCATTCAGTAGTTGTCGTCGTTTTTTAGCATATCTTGTGATTTAGCGCTAATTTTTTGTTGTTTTCGCTTTTGTTTATTAGCAATCTTCAGGCCTGCTTCTAGTAGTTCTGTTGTTATTTTATCGTTTAATTCGTCTAGTTGCAAACCCTTTAGCTGTGATATGTCACTTCTTTTCAGCTGGTTTATGTATTGTTCTTTGCGTTCTTTAAGAAGTTCTGTATCTATCTCTTTTTTAGATGGTTTAAATTTTTGTCTGTCTGTTGTGGAGTTAATTTTGATTTTGGCTCTAACAATTCTGTGATCACTTCCTACGGAAATCATGTTTATGTTTATGTCTATTTTCTGTCTTTATTGATCAATAAATTGTCAATTGATAGTTAGAATATCAATTTTCTTACATATTATACTTAAAGCTGTTACTTGAATTACTTGTAAAATTTGTTAAACTATCTTGAAGTAAAAATAGGATTATGTAATTACATTTTAGTACTGCTAGTTGTCTCTCTCGACTTTTATATTAATTATTAACTGACCGGCAAAAGTAACCGGCCACTTAAAATTCCATAGTTTAGTTTTGTTGAATTGCCCTGTATAATAATTAAATATATTTATCTAAATGTAAGTTGCTTTTATCCATTAGTTTGTTATTTTAAACAGTTAAAAAGTGGTATTTTTTTTGTGACTTTGTTAATATGCATCGATTTACTTAAAATATTGCTTGTTAAATTGATTGGATCCATTTTTGGTGAATGGTAGCTGTTTTTTCGGTAAACAAAGTGTTTTTAATAACAAAGAATAATTTGTAATGAGGCCAGATCAGGTAGCGCAAGCACTTGCTCTTATCGTTCCAATCGATATATCGCAGATATGTTTGGCGTTCCGCGAAGCACAATTTACGAGATTTTACAAAGATTTCGATAAATTGGTTCTTACTCAAGAAGACCAAGGAAATAACCAAGAAAAGTACACGAAAGGCCAAGGTCAACAAACGCCGCGGAAGATCGGTTTCCTAGACTTCAAGTGCTTCAAGATCAGACAGTTGCTACTACAGCTTTGCCTAGGAGACTGGTAGGTGTTTATGGTATCATGCTCTATGGTCGAATAGTGCATACGTCGAAGATTAAGCGAACAAAATTTATCATCTTATGTACCTGCTACAGGTGCTGGTAGTTACATTAGGGAATGTCTAGAAGAACATTAATACCTTATATGCGTTTTGTAGGTAAAAATTTTCTCCTAATGTAGAAGAATGCTGGGCCACATATAGCCAGGATAACAATGCAATACTTTACAGATGTTGGTATTCAGTTACTAACCTGGCCTCCTAGAAGTCCAGACCTTAGGAGAAGTCCAGACTCGATAAAGTATTTGTGAGACATCTTGAGAGGGGTCTTCCCTTCTTCAGCCTTAAGTAATCCAACTTTGGACATAGGCCTCCCCCAACTCAATCCAGTGTCTTCTATTTTGTGCCAATTGCTTCCAGTTGTGAGGGGTAGTTAGGCACAATTAGGGCTAGTTTGAAACTGCCGTAGCGTTACAATAGGCGCTAATAAGCGAATGGGAACAAATACCGTAAAACGATATTTTTGCTTTGATCCAGTTTATACTAGAAAAGATAGCGGTTATTCGAGCTCGAGGCGAAAATACACGATTTTAGTATCCATATTTTAGAAATATATCATTGATTTAAAAAATATCTTACCCAGAAATAAAACTATTTTAAAATTTTTATTGTCAATATTTTGGAATTTGTTTTTTATTTTTGGATTTTTATGGAACATACAATAAAAATAATTTATTGGAGTTTTTCTAATATTTTTTAGTTTACTTCAAATAAACTTAGTGTCCAGTTACTTTTGCGGGTCAGTGTTTTTTATTGATATTCAAATTGCACGGTTTTGATGTAAATGATGTTAAGTAAATAAATCTCAAATGTACTTGCCCTCTAATGTCTAAGGTGGCATCGATCCATATTTCGATTTCTATCGTTTTTCGATTGTCGTCCATCGTTTCTGGAAGCTCGGGGTTAGTACTGTTGGCGAATGTATTGAAGATGTAGCTGCGGGGTAAACCTTCGATATGGTAAGGTTGGAACAGCACTTTGAATGTTGCCTAAGATAATAACAAAAACAATGTGTTAACATTATTAATATGGGTTTTAATATATTAACTACAATAAATCAGTAATATTATGATTAATAAAATTAATATAGTAAATACTAAATTGGGTTAATTTACGTCGTTTAAGTTCAGTGCTACGCTGACCGGCAAAAAAAGTGGCCAGTATAAATTTCTGAAAATAAAAATTCATTGGAAGTTTTATGCACTGTTTCATATTGTATACTCTTCATTTTTAAAACAATTAATGGACATTACTGCTTGATTCCCGATTCCTTAGCATAATTTATTTAATTAGAAGGCTACAAAAGAAAATAGTGTAATATCGAAATGAATTACAAACCATAAACCGTTTGCATACGATTTGGAAGGGATAGAAACAAATTTTGAATAAAAACTTGAGGTATATTCTTCACGAAGCATGTTTTGAAGGTTAGCCAGACTTTCTTGCTAGCCTGGTTGATTTCTAACGATGAAGTTCATCCTAAAGATGTTCGATAATATTCAGATCAAGTCGGCAGGCTGGCCTGTCTAGAGTATTAATTCCTACTTCTCCCAAGTAATTTGTCATGATTCTTGCAGTATGAGGCCGTGCATTATCTTGCATAAAGACGAAATTGTCCCTTATAAATGGACCATATGGAACTACTGCCTCTACCAAAACATCATATATATATATACCTTGAGGATACAGGGGGCCATTGACGAAAATAACTTCAGTTCGAGCTTCAAATGAGATTCCAGTCAAAACCATTGGAGAATATGAGAACCACCACCGCCAAACTTTCTTCTCTGGGACGTACAAGCTTTGGCATATGTTTCATTTCTCCGTCATTAAATTCTCTCTCGGCCATCGCCAGACTTTAAACAGTACCGCGATTTATCAATAAGGAGAATTTGGCTCCAATCCTGTATATCTCAGTGTTGATGTTGTCAAGCAAAAATGAATACATCCTTATAGTGTCTAGGTTGTAATTCGGGAACAATATCCGGGCTTCTTACCATAAGTCCTCTTTCATTAAGGCGTCTTCTAACCGTTCTCTTTCTTACACTCACATTTCAAACCTCCTGCAGATGGTTTTTTGCAGCAATTGCAGTGGAATGACGATTTCTTAAAAGTTCAATCTCAATAAAACGATCATCTCTTTACGGGATAACTCTTCTACAACCGGAACCGGCTCTATGAAAGCTCTCTGTACTGTATTTCTCGGAATACCTAAAATACATAAACTTGACTTCTTCCGTCTTTTTGTATTTAGCAATGCAATCATTTGCAACATCTACTGTAGATAACACCATATCCTAATTATTCACTTAGTCGAAATTCATATTTGAGAAACTAAATTTCTGTTGAGACATAATAATATAAAATAGTCCATAAAACTTCCAATGAAATTTTATTTTCGGAAATTTATAGAGTGACCACTTTTTTGCCATTCGGTGTAAATTGATTTTAAGAGATCTTTCACATTATACTCCCGGATGCCAAAACCTATTTCGTACGTAATTAGCTTTCTAGGGCAAAATATTCTAGAAAAAAAAATTGTAGAAATTTTGGTCGTTTGCAAAATAATATTACGATACTAAGTATATTCACCAATCTGTTGGGTTACATTATCCGTAAGTTTTATTTAACAACACACATGCACCCTTTATAACTCCAGATAATATCTCTGGTCTTTTGGTTATTATATACGATGGAAACATTGAAAAACAATCATCAGGATCGTCTGTCTCTTATTTGAGTATATGATGGGTATAAAATCAAAGTCGGCAATCTACCACTTCCATAACTTTGTAGAAATTAACAAAATTAAATTAAAACAATAAAACTGACGAAGAATAATATAAAATTTCGTTTGTGATCGGATGTCCAGAAAGAGAAGCTTAATAAATTATTTCTTTTTCTTTTTTTAATATTTTAGTTTGGAAATTGCCGTTTTTGTTTGCAATGCTTAGAGATTGACGGATATGAAAATGATCTATAAGGATATTGCCAGTGTTGTAACTAATAAAACATCATTGTGTCGGTTATTTAGTAAAAAAAAAATATTTTGATATTGGACAGTAATATAATATGTAAACAATTTACATTCACAGGTTTCTATATATACCATGTGGTCCATATGTATGGAATAAATTCATTTTTAGCGTTATTATGTACTATGTGAAAAAAGCCTGAAACAGGTCAATTTTTATTCTTAAATTGACAAATTACAGTACGAAAATAATATCCCCCTCCAGCACTCCCTTTGAATTATAAGCACCCCCTCAAAAAATTTAAATAGCAAAGGGGGTTGTGTAGCACCTTGTTAGAAAGGGATTTTAGTCCTCTGTTCATCAATGTAAAGTTTTTTGAGTTTGTGCAATTATAACTTACAAAATTAATTTTTACAATAATAAATTAAATGTTCAACTTGACCACTATTATTCATTTCTTGACAATAACCGAGGCGATTTTGGAATTCGCATACAACATTATGTATGACCTCGGGTGTTATTTTCTTAATTTCTTCCGTTATCCTAAATTTTATATCAGCAATATTGCCTGGTCTATTAAAATATACTTATATATTTTGTACTATTATATACTACTATATGAAAAAATCAGATATTTTCGTATCTGTTCTGCTAAACGTTCAATATTGAAAAACCCGGTAGAAATAATAAATTTATTGATTAAAAAAAGTTGTATAAATGTATATCTAGAGATTGAGGAAAATCTGCATAAGACAACTCGAGAACTTGCCGCCATCAATGATGTAAGTAAATCATCTATTTTGAGAGTTTTACATAAAGAAAAATACCTCCCTTACAGAGTTCAGTTAGTTCAGGAGTTAAATGAAGATGATCCTGATAGACGGCAAGAATTCTGTGAAATGATGATGGACAGAATGAACGCAGATTTGCAGTTCATAAACAAAATAGTTATTTTCTGATTAAGCGACGTTTCATTTAAACGGAACGGTTAACAAACCGAACTGTAGATATTGGAGCAGAGAAAATCCTCACTGAGTGTGTGAGACTCACACGCAATATCCTAAAAAATTAACGATTGGGCTGGTATTATTAACAATAAAATTATTGGTCCTTATTTTTTTGAGGGCGCAGTTGATGATGAGGTTTATCTAGATTTTTTGATTAACTTTTTAGTGTCTACATTACGAAGATTTTTTCCTAATGTTAATCATCCAAATTAGATAGATGGACCTTTTTACTACCAACAAGGAAGAGCTCTACCGCATTTTGTACTTATAATTCTCTTCTTCTTCTTCTTCAGCCTGTTTGCATCCACTCCTGGACAAAGGCCTCCCCATGAGTTCTCCACTCTTCCCTGTTTTGTGCTATTTGGTGCCAGTTTCTCCCCATTTTTGCTTTGATGTCGTCTATCCATCGTTTTTGTGGTCTTCCTCTACTCCGACTGTGTTCGCGTGGTCTCCAATGTACAATGTTTTTTCGTCCATCTGTCGTTGTTTTGCCGTGCCACGTGCCCTACCCAGTTCCATTTCATTTGTGCAATCCTTCCAATTACATCTTCCACCTTCGTCCTGCTTCGTATGTCCTCGTTTCGTATATGTTCTCTTAGTGATATTCCCAACATAGCTCGTTCGATGGCCCTCTGTGTTGTTCTTAATCTGTTGGCTGACAACTCTGTAAGTGTCATGGTCTCCATTCCATAAGTCATGACCGGTAGAATACAACTGTTGAATACCCTTTTCTTTAGATTTATTGGTATCTTTTTGTTCTTCAACACATCACTGAGTCTGCCTACTGCTGCCCAAGTCATTCGGATTCTTCTAGTTATCTCTGCTGTTTGATTCTGTTTGCCTAGTTTGATGGTGTGACCTAGGTATATATACTCTTCGACACTTTCGATCTCACTTCCATCTAAGTCGATTGTGATATTTTGATTTGTCATTACTTTTGTTTTATTTAAATTCATTTTTAAACCGATTTTTTCAGATTCTTGTTTAAGCTCCTTCAGCATGTAGATTAGTTCCTCTGTATTGTTGCTTATGAGTACTATGTCATCGGCAAATCTTAGATGGCTTAAAAACCTGCCATCAATTAGAAATTATTATAGTACTTATAATTAGAAATTATTTAAACGGGGTTTTTCCCAATAGGTGGATTGGAAGACGTTGAACAATCGAATAGCCGGCTAAATGCCCCGATTTGACTCCTCTCGATTACTTCTTATGGTTATTTAAAATCTAAAGTATAGTTTACTAGACCAAACAGTATTGCTGATTGAAAAGTTGGGATAACGGAAGAAATAACGAAAAAAATGAACAAAATAACTCCCGGAGTCGTACAAAATGTTGTACGAGAATTCCAAAATCGCCTCATGTATTGAATCCAATCGCATCCAATTGAAATCGCATCCAATATCAAAAAGTGAATAGTGGTCATTTTGAACATTTAATTTAATTCTAAAGTACATTGAAAAATACATTTTAAATATTATGTGACATTATTATCTTCATTCAACCTAAAGTTTTGTGGTAAAGACATTATCAAAGTTTTACAATTTAAAAACCATTTTTTAGGTTAATATTGCACCAAACTTAAAAAACTTAATATTACTGACCAGAGAACTAAAATCCCTTTCTAACAAGGTGCTATTTAAAATTTTTGAGGGGGTGCTTATAATCCAAAGGGGGTGCTGGAGGGGGATATTATTTTCATACTGTAAATTGTCAATTTAGGAATAAAAATCGACCTGTTTCAGGTTTTTTTCACATAGTACTTAATAACGCTAAAAATTAATTTATTTCATACATATGGACCGTATGGTATATTCACAGGTTTCGACATACTGTAACTCTGGAACAGGATTCTCCAAGTAGTTCTCGTTTGCTTCTTGTTCATAACGTTGAAAAAGTTCTTTATCTGATCGAGTTGTGTCCAGTCTAAGCCAAAATGTTTGGTCAAAAGATTTCGAACATCACGCAGTTTTAAATTATTTGCTGGTGAGAATCGGGGATAAGTTTTTCTGGATTGACCATGCTAATTTGTTTGCCTTTTCGTGTGATATTTACAAAATATCCGAAATCGTTTTTGTACTGAAGTTTACCTCGTATTAAAACATTTCCTGTTCCACATAGTTTTAAAATGTACCTTTTACATTCCTTAAACTGAAAACCCCATGTTGCTACTGGTTTAAGAGCCTCTTGAACAGCAGACTTCCAATCGTAAACACAGCTTTGTTTCATATCAACGACCGTAGAAAATTCGGAAATAATTTCTTTGTATTCGCCAGGTGTCGTTACCACTTCTCGTTTTCGTAAATTTTTTTCTATTTAACCGAAAACTCTATAAGACCAAGAATGAGTGACCAACTACAGGAAAAACTAACTCAAGTAATTTAACATTTGGTGGTGCGCTCTCGGCTAGCCATTTGCAGGACATAAAAATCATTATCGAGTTTTTATTTTGACCACTGCGTTCACCAGCGACCAGTCGCACCTTCTTTGACATGTTGCCAAAATGAGTGTCATTGAGTCGATGAAAGACTGCTGAACAAAATTCATTTGATCCTTTGGTAAACATGTCCTCCATCCAATAATATGAAAATACATTTTCCTTTGAAAGTGGAGACTTTGAGAAACTAACAATAGTAAAGTTATAAAAATAAAGCTGACTTGAATAATAAGTACTTTGATCAGGAACTTTGGAAAGGAGCAAATTTTTTTGTCAGTCAAACGAGAAAGTGACAAGGTCTTCTGTGTTTTCCTGAAAAAATTAGAAAAATACTTTCGCTCGAAGTTAGTGGAGCCGTTTTTTAGTCATTAGTTTAATTTTAGAATGCTCATTTTCTCGTATTTAATGATTTAATAAGTGCTAATTTCACTTGGCCCTAAACATTTTGAGCAACGTCTGTTCTTGGACTTTAAAGCTCAAATTATATTTTCTGTTAAATATATAGCGAAAATACGATCTCTTCACAGTCTCCGAGGGAATTGTCTGAGCAGTGTACATTAAATACCATTTTAAGACGCTGAGTTCAGATGGAAGATACATTATTTTCGTCACTGAACGGCAGTAATGGGATTCAGTATATTTTAATTGGTTTATAAACCTATGCACTCCTTCAAGCTTATCCCGATATTTCGCAGTTTTTCGGTCACTACCTCTGCGTTCAATCGGTACTTGGCCTGTTTCATTAAATCGTTTTATCACATAGAAAAGCCTGTGTTTTGTTATCTCTGGCACGTTGAAAAAAGCTGCTTGGCATACTGAAACTTTCTCCTTGGATAAACAATTATGGATGAAATATTTTATCTGGTGCTTCTTTGGAGAATACCTTTCATCTGCTTAGCACAACTTGGAACTTTCTCTTGGATTAAAAATTAAGAATGAAATATTTTACCTGATGATTATTTGGAGAATACTTTTTATTTTTCGGCCGGCGTCGGACAGTACGATTCACAGTGCAGTATTTCAAAATAAAGGCATCTTGAATTGCTTAATCTTTGGTCTCATAGAATAAGCTATGAAATTTCTGTATATTTTTGTATATCGTCCAGCAAGCATGTTTTTAAATTATGACCACCTGTTGGGTATTCTGGCATATTCTTAGCAGAATATTTAAAACAAAAAATAATTATGAACACTAGTATTGAAATGGGTTCAAATTTTAACAAAAACGAAAAATAAAATATCAAAATTCAACAACGGCTTGGAAATGGCCGGAAATCAAAATTCATAACATTTACGAAAGTACTCACCTTAGACGTTTTGCAACATTTTTCTTCCATTTTTCAGGTTGTCTTATTCGATTCCTTGCCTTTGTTAGTGTGACAGGTGACGCATTAACTTACATGGTAAAATAGTAATACTTTTTTGTATATAAAACTAATTTCTTAGACAAAAATATAGTTTAGAAAAGTACAAAAAAAAACTAAAACAAATTATAATAGCAAGATGTAACGGCAGATCTTACCATATGTTGATCAAGTGCGTGCGCTACGAGGTTCTTATTGGCTGCAGGGGAGATTGCTGTGTTAATTACGCACTCAGCAATGGATATTGACGCTTTTGATCCCAACATGAACTTTTCACTGCGTTTTATATAAAGTTAAGACCGTTTTTGGTTCTTACAAATAGTTTTATCTAACAGATAATAAAAAAACGGAATAGATGGCGTCCCTAACTCAAAACAAAAAGAAATGGAGATTTCCGCTTTTGATTTTACACCCTTGATATAGTGGGTACGCTTAAAAATCCGAAATATAGATAGATATATTATATTAAGTTCTCTTTTTATATGTATTAAAATAATAAAAAAACAAATAACGACATGACTTCTCGTATACTTATATATAACAAGCGAGTCTTCTACAGCTGACGCCGCTTCTCGCATCTTAATTTCCAGCGTTTTCTGTCGAAGCAATCTTCAGTTGTTAGATCTCTGGCGGGCATCGTCGACATCGTCTCTCCAGGATCGTCTTGGTCTACATCGTTTTCTTCTTGTTGGAGGATTTCATTCTTCTATTTTTTTTTGCCATCTATTTTCTGGCATTCTCTGAAGGTGTCCATACCAGTTAAGTCTTTTGGCTTCGATTGTGTCTATTATGTCTAGATCGATTTCCACTTTTCTCCGAATATCTTTGTTTCTCACCCTATCAAGTCTAGTGAGCTGGCAATATCGTCTCCAGTAGTTCATTTCCATGGCCTGAATTTTTGATTGGTTTCTTTGGTTTATTTCCCAGAGTTCGGCACCGTACAGCCAATACTTTCTATTATTGTTTTATAAATTCTTCTTTTATTTTCTTTTGTTATTTTTTTGTTCCATAATAGTCCGTGTAGCTGTCTGGTGGCTGATCTTGCTTGGCCAATCCTGGAATGTATTTCTTCGCTACTTCCTGCTTTTGATGTTATTTAGACTAGTATTTAAAATTGTCTGTTGGTTTTATAGTTCCCATTTCGATTTGTAGGCTTTCTGGTTTTTCTCCTACAACTAAGTACTCAGTTTTTTGTAAATTAATTATGAGGCCCCATTTGGTGTACTCATCTTCCAGTTTGTATCCTACATTACTCTCGTCTTCAGCTAGAATGGCTTGGTCGTCAGCGAAGTGTATCGTGTACAATCTATCATCTTCGATTGGGATGCCCATATTGCAGCACTTTCTTCTCCACAGTGAGAGTGCCTCATTCAGATATATTTTGAAGAGTGTAGGTGCTATGCAGCAGCCTTGCTTTAGGCCCTTACTAATAGGAATTTCTCTAGTTAATTTATTTCCAGTTTTAATGTTTGCCGTCATATTTTTGTAGAGCTGTTGTACTGCTTGTACATTTTGTTGCTTATTCCTTATTTTTCCATTGCTACCCAAAGTATTGAAAGTGGACACTATCGTATGCCTTTGTCAGATCTATAAAGACTATATGAGTTGAAAGGTTGTGGGCTAATCTTTTCTCGATAACTTGCTTTAGAGAGAATATACTGTCCATACAGGATCTGCTTGCACGAAAGCCATTCTGTTCTTCTACATCTGTCATCTCTTTTTCAATTTTATTTTTTATTATTTTTCCATACAGTCTTGAGAGTGAATTTATGACACTTAGCCCCCTGTAGTTTGAACAATTATTTCTATCTCCTTTTTTGTAGATGTTGTTAATATGTGCTTTTGTCCACTCGGGTGGTTAGTCGTGTCCATTATAGAATAAGGTGAAGACATACGCCAGTAATTCTCGTAATACTTGTGGGCTATGTTTTAATAATTCATTTGATATACCTTGTGGTCCGCATGACTTTCGACTTTTTAGAGTTCGTATTGCATTCTCGACTTCCTGTAATGTTATTTCATCATCTTCACTGAATTCCAGTTCATATGTTGTTGTACTGATGTTCGTGAATTGCGGTCTTGTTTCAGTCAAAAGTGGTGAGTAGTGTTCGATCCAAGATCTTTCTTCTATTAAATCTATTCTACTCGTTTATTTTCTATTTGTTCTCAGATTTTTTTACCGTTTTCCATGCTTCTCTTGATCTTGTTGACCCTATATATTTGTTGAGTTCTACGCATTTACTTTCCCAGCAAATATTTTTTGCTTTAGTTACTAAATTTTTTACTTCTCTGTTTGATCTTGCATATGTTCGTCTATCATCTGGATCATTTGTTTGCAGCCACTTTTGATATGCTTGTTTCTTGTTGTGATGACTTGTCGTTTACATTTAATTTTATGTTGAAAACAACTTTTATAGTAAATTTAAGTCTATGCTCTATTAATATAATTTAAAACATGAATTCACAAAAAAAAATAAACAAAAGTAAATACTTACTATCTTTTTACTAGGAAGTGGATTTCCTATCTCACAAAGGACTGTCCTATTACCTACGTCGTTACAAAGCCATCCAATTTTTTTGCTATAACCTTTGTAGAAGACTCCTGCGGGATATGTAATTTCGAAAGTAGTTTCGAACGCGTCTTCTTCGAAATTGGAGACTATTACGTCGAATTCGATGGTTGTATTCGAGCCCAACAGATATTTGTTAACATTGCTGTAAAGAAAAAAATGTTGAATTAAATCAATAATTTTTATAAATGAAATTAATTGGAATAGAGAAAAGTGATATAAGCATGGGGGACATGGTTTCTAAGAAAGGGGTTGAAGTGTTAAGTAGGTCAAAGACAAAATATATAAAATATTGGTTTAAAAATACAGTTACTAGAATAGGATCACATAACAATATAAAAATATAATCATACAATTCATCATTGCTTAACCGCAAATTTTGCACCCCCAAAAATTATGCTTTTGATAGTAAATTTTCTCGTGAACGGATTAACGGATTTCGCCATTTTTTTTTTATTATTTCAGACTTTTCTATGGTTTTTTCATTGAGGGTGGAGTTTACTTAAACTTCTCTTTTGGGTTTATACCGGGTGAAAAAAAATATTTTTCTTGTTAAGTTTAAGACACCCTGTAGGGAAGACAAGGTACAAGGGTCGGTTTACATCGAAACCATGTTGTAGTGTCATGATTTGTGAATATTTTGTTTTTAACTTCTTTGATATCTTTAAAAAGAAAGAAAGAAAATATACGGTTTTATTCTTTAACATGTACTTTAATTGAAGCAACACTAAATTAACAATAAAAGATAATAATAGTTAATAAAACTTTAAAAACAGAAAGCAACAAGTAAACTAATATCGTTTGTTTCTCTACTTTTAAGAACAGCCTCACATCTCCTCTGCTTGCTATATATTAAGCGGGCTATTTGATTTTGTTCTATGGAGTCTCAGATATCAATAATCATAGTTTGTACATCTTACGGAAGGAAGTGGCTGACGAAATCTTAATTGAATAACTCTTAAGAGTCAATCAGAACAATTATAAGAAGTAGAGAGGAAAACACCCGATATTAGTTTATATTGTTTTTTTCTGTTTTTAAAATTTTATCTGGTGTTATTTTTTATTGTTAATGTAGTATTGTTTTAGTTAAAACACATGTTAAAGAATAAAACCGTTTATTTTCTTTGTTTTTAAAGATATCAGGGATACTAAAAAACAAAATGTTCACAAAACATGAGACTACAACACGGTCTTGATTTAAACCCACCTTTGTACCTTGTCCTCCTTACAGAATGTTAATTTAGTACTGATTCAGTTAAAATACATGTTAAAAAATAAAACCGCACATTTTCTTTGTTTTTAAAGACATCAAGAATATTTACAAAGCAAAATGATTACAAAACATGAGACAGCAGGGTGTCCCAAACTTAATGTTGCGTTCTGCACATACGATGACAAACACACGTCTCTGTCATTTGGGAGATATAACTCGTCTGTCTCATTTGGGAGATAAAACTCGTCTGTCTCGTTTGGCATACGGAACTCGTCTCATATCTCAAATACATGTCTGTGTCATTTTGCAGATGGCTCGTCTTGCCATCTAATGTTTAGTTTTTAAAACAGCTGTGTTTTGATACACGGAATATTGGCTAAATATACGGGGAGAATCGAAACTAACACAATATTTTATAAGTGTTTATGCATATTTGCGAAATTGCAACACTTAACATAAGAAAAACATTTTCTTTTCTTCTACTTGATATAAACCCAGAAGAGAAGTTTGAGTAAACCTTTGCTCAACAGTTAAAGAAATAGTCTAAAATAATAAAAGCAAAAACTTTTGCGGTTACGTGTATAAACAGAGCAAAGAATGCGTGTCACAATAATGGTTAAACGAAAAAACGGAATAGAACAAAATAGGAACGGACAAAATAGGGCAAAACCAAACGGAATCTATCAGGAAAGTCTTGCTGTAGCGTCTATCAGTACCAAAGGATAGGAAAGAAGTGATGATAAAATTATTGCCACATAATTTATAAAATTTTCTGTTACTTGGTGAAAATTCATGTTTGTATAGGTAACTGCCTACTTATTAGAAGCAAGCATAAAAACTTCCACGAAAAAGCTGTTGGCAGAATGATGGATAAACGTCACTTTGTGTAAATTGTCTAAATACATGTCATGTCAAAAATTAAATAATGATTAAATAAATTATTATTTACACGTTTTTTAGTTGTTTTAGTTTTTTAGCGACAAAATATAGTCAAGTTTACATATTTTTTATCAACAACCCAATATATAACATCTGATAATGATATTCGTGCGTTAAATTCACCACGTCTGGTTCTTGAGTGTATAAATAAAAGTTATTAAGTCATTAAGTGTTATGTTAGAGAGAGTCTCTCTCTACCGTTGCCGACCAGATTGTAGCTTAGACTATTTTAAAATCATTTTAAACTGTTTGTCCTTGTTTAGTGTAGTATTATGTTCAATTGTATGTTTATTTTAAGTTTATGACATTCTGCGATTGCTGGATAGCCCAAAATGGACGAAATGCCCATGATGATGCTCTAGGAAGCGAAAGTACTTGGGCAAGATTTAATTAATAAAACTGTGCTCGATATCTGCCTTTCATTTTATCAAAGTTTTTATGTCTGTATGCACGATCACCTGGTAAGGATCTATGGAGTGAGTTTCACCGAGACGCAAGCCCCTTCTCTCGCCGTATGGCTCATCCATAAGTCTATGCAATAAACCAGTGTATTCTAGTCTAACTAGCAAATCTAATAAGAATTTTAAACTACTACGTTAGCATTTTTGTTTTGTGGTCAGGGTCTAATCCATCGATTACTAGATCATTCACAAAGAAGTAAATTTGATTTATCCATCTGGCCCGCTTGGGTACCTGACTATCTGATCTAATTTTTAAGATTATACGTATAAAAAACTTCTACTTTTACATTGAAGTGAAAACTTCTATTGTAAATCGAAATGGATTACAATAGTTGATTGCCTTTTTATTCAGAACGAACGTTTTTCATGAGTCCATCTTCAGTGCACTTTGAAGTACTTGTGCTAAAAACCGGAACACCAAGCAGTGAGTGGGTTTGAATTAAAAACTATATACGTAAACGTATTAAATTAAATGCGTAAGTCAGTTGGCTGGCTATCGCAGACCCAGATTGACGTGAGTTCTAGTTTGGGTAGGCACATATCGTGCCCGGATAGTTAAATCTATATTCATCGACATTATGTCGTTTAATATAATACTTTTAAGTATGTAGTTTTTAATTTAAGCCCACCCACTGCTTGGTGGTTATGGTTATTAGTTCCTTCCCAAAAAGTTCCTTCTGAATAAAATATCAACTATTGTTATCCATTTAAATTTTTGACTTAATTTTTTAATTAAATATATACAAATTACAACACAAGTTTTCACTTCGATGTAAAAGTTTTTTTAACTACTGTTGTATACAACCAATTCTTGGGAACTATCCCACTTTAAGATTACACTTCTAGTTAAGAGCTCTGTTATTCCCAAAGAGGCTTTTTTTTTAAATATATTCTTCAGTTGATTTGTATTATTACTGAATTATTGTGGTTAATTTGTGAATTAATATATAAAGATTTTCGAAAGTAGAGACTCCGATAACTAAATTTTAAGGTTGTACTACAAGCACGAGGATGCTCCTCTACTTCATGCAGTAATAGGACGAGAGAATTTTTAAACGTTTATAGAAATGTCACCTGAAAATAATTACAGTGGAACGTCGATTATCCGTCTCTCTACTAACCGTCACCTCTGTTAACCGTCAGGGTCCATAAATAAGTTGACCATAATATATTGACAACATACGTAAAAATTTAGTCATCAATTCATTTTCTTTGCATAAAAATTTCCACCAGAGACGATTCTCATTTTGGACAATGCACCTGCCCATCCTAAAGCCGGTATGCTGCGGAGTGACGATAAAAATATCACGTACTCTTTTCTGCCTGCGAATACATCATTGATACAACCAATGGATCATTCACTCAGTAACACATTCAAAAGAAGATACAGGAAAAAATTTATTCAAACCCTAGTTATGGAAGAGTAATATACTTTGCCATAATGCTGGAAAGCATACAATTTAAAACACGCTGTCGACAATGCTGTGGATGCTTGGGCTGATGTTTCGGAAGTAACGCTGAAAAGAGCCTGGAATAAATTAGGGGCCTGGAATCAACTTAAGATGAAAATGCTCCCCTTAAATGAAGTTACGGCTGAATCAACTGTTTTGTTTTCGTTGCCTAAAGATGGCATAAACGAATGGTTAATTTGTGATGAGGACACAAACGGCTATATATTGCTGACAGACGATGAAATCGTTGAAATGGCAACAGAGGCGGACGAAACTGATTCAGAAGCCGACTTTGATGGTGGCGATGTTGATGATGCTATTACAACTCACAAATATTTGCGTAAAGAAGCTACAGGAGCTGCATCGCACATACAACAATTCATCAAGTGGTATTCTCGACAAGAAGAAGCAAATAAGGTGGATTTAATGATTTTACGTCGATTAAGAAAATCAGCCGTTGCAAAATGTGAAGTCACAATAAAACAAACAAAGATTTCGGAATAATTTAAATCAAATTGATTTGACTGTAGTAACATAAATCCCTTTTGTATTGTCAAATAAAACATACAAATAAAATTTGAGAGTTATACTATGATTTTTTTTAAATGTTCTGTTAACCGTCTTTTCGATTATCCGTCATAACCTTGGTCCGGTGCCCTGACCGATAATCGAGGTTCCACTGTATCTGAATTGGAGTATCCGAGGATATCTATCTAAAAGCACTGGTTTATATAAATGGTAAATTTACATCTTCAAAATTGCATCGTAGGAGCTTGTAATATTTCTAGAATACCTCTAGCTATTTCTAACGGATTCGCCAATTTATTAGATGTCGACTGGAAGGTTAAATTGTAACAACAGGTGTACATTTTGAACATTTGATCTGAAATGTACTAATTGTATGTCATAATTTATGTTATTACAGGTATTTGTTCATTTTTATTAATTTTGGAAAGCAGTGGTGGCGTCAGCAATAAATTGCACTTTTAGTCAGAGGTCGTTTATTATAAAAATGAAATACCCTTGATTTCAATATACGTCCATGGATAAAATTTATAGTCACATTTTTATTGGAACTTTC